AATCGCAAAATACTAGTCTGTGGGTCAAAATAAAGCTTCTAATAGAAGGAACATGAACATGAATAGCTTAGTTACTTAACAATTATACGATAAAAATATACTCATAGTAGTGATACATAAATGGATCCCATTCATTATTCTTGCCGGGACATAGAACACACCTCCCATTTTTTGAAGATCCGGAGTTGATATCCAGATTTTAAATTTTCCGAGTTCATCCTCCTCCGCCAAATAATATTGGGTCCTCATATACTCAAGTCACAATTAAATTGATTTTATTTAAAACATATTGAACAGAGAATCTAGTAAAATTGACCAGATAGTGAGGATAAACGCCATTTAATTCGAGGTCATCAGAGTTTGAATCTTCTGAAATATTGTTATCAATTTTATTGGGAGCCTCATTTGTAGATAATGGATCATTAAGGTAATCAGCATCTATCAAAATCGTGTTAGGTTTCTGATCATTTGATGCATCTGACTTGTTTTCTGGTAAAAGAGAATCTCGATAATAAAATTCGTCAGAAACTTCTGTCGCAGAATGATGAGATCCATTTGGAGCAGCTGCATTCAGTGTGCTGCTCGATTTGTTTTCTTTTACATAAGGGGTTATTGCGACAATTCTATGAACATTTAACAGGGTATCTGTTTGTGAGCTGGATAAGTCACTGTCTGCACATGCTGTTTCGAGGATAATGAAGTTTGAATCCATTACCGGGCATGTTTCAGAAATGGAGAGTACTGGACCACCGGGCGGATCTTGAGTGACTGCTGTATCGTTTGAAATACGGTTTGTCGAGGATTCATGGAGGCTACAATCATTTTCCAGCTCAGTGTGCAATCGAGAAATTAACCCATCCTTTTCCGGTGCATCTACAAAGCATGAGTGATTCTGAAGCTGTGTGCGTAAATTGACTAAGAACTCCAATTGTCGCTCAAATAGCAGCTGTAATCGATCGGAAGGCAGAGTCATTATCTAAATCATCACCGGTAATGAAAATTACTGTATCACTAATGACCAATGTCGTTCAGGGACACCAATGGCAAACCTGGATGCTGATTGCTCGAAATAATTAGACTGAATTTCGTCCAATTAGCCCGTCGCCAATTCTTATAACTTGTGACCTGAGTGCCCTGTTAATGGATAAGTCATGATACCGCCAATTGGGGACATAACACACTGTCAAACAAAACCTGGCTTTACTAAAAATTGTGACTAAACGGAGATATCGAGGTAATCTGTATAGAACGCACACATACCATACAAAGAGATTGATAAAGTTGGTAAGTTCATAGTATCAACAACTGCGAAATATAAATCCTTACAAATAACTCGATTGAAGAAGCTTACAATGTATTTTTATGTCTTTACATGAAAATCTTTCCCAACTGAACATCATCTATCTTAATCACAGGAAGGAAATGTTTTAAGGTCGCCTCCTTCACTTATTATGGTAGCTTAGTTAACTATGATTGATTGGTGGTTGACAATAACTCGACACTGATATCCAATGTGACTTTTTTCTTTTACAAAAACCACATATGGTGTTAGTAAAATGTATGGTGTATTTTACTACTGTAAATTCTGCTTCATATTACCCTATTTCAGTGAAGTATGGTCTTCAAAGTTAAGAGACCTGAGAATTTCTTTAATGGATGACTGTTCCATTGACTAAATACATTGAAGCCACTGAGTAGTGCTGTTAGGCAAATGTATGTAAGTTATTCAATGTAAAGAACATTCATTAGCTATAGTACTTAAGACAAGTTACACAAGCCAATAGCATAAACAATCTCGAGGTAATATACTGTCTAATGTAAATGAAGAAGATAAATAAAAATAGGTCTGTTAAGTAATAGTTTACTAATGTCAGTCAGTCTGCCTCTAATCGCAAATATAGAGCTTAAAAAGTGACTCGCTGTTTTCATATGTGTAGTTACTCCCTACTTATGCTATTCAGTAAATTAATAAGCAGTAAAAAGATGAGAGATGAAGAATTTAAATAAATAGTCCTGAAAGCCAATCCTCTAACGACCAAAAAATAGAACATTTGGAAGCACTCAATTGACGACAGTTAGTGTGTGACTAGGATAGATTAAAATCTGCACAAGGTTGCAATCGTTTAACCTGTGATTAACGTGTACCTATCCGAAGAGCAAACAAATTTCCTATATTCAAACATTCGAAATCTATGGTCAACACTCCCTTCAGCCCTATGACATTTATCAAGAGCGCTTTTTTAAGAGATAATGTAATTGGTAATAGAACTCAACTTCAATTACCTGCAAAATATTATTCTGCTAGGGTGTATGCCCAAATAAACCATTTTAACTTGACCTAAAGGCATGACAAGAGATAAATGGCTATCAACTGAGGTTTGGTCAGGTAACGAAGCTTCAAGTTTAACTCTTAGTTTTTTAACTTTAAGACCGAACCTGGTACCAGAGGATCTCCAAATGAGCACAAACGGAAGTTACTTTTGCAATCAACAGATGAAAAGAATCTCACAGTTGAGTTTCAACAGTACAGAGTGCTTCAGTAGAAAGTCTTTTCAAAAATTTAGTAGTCAAACCTGTTTGCTTTCCATTGTAAATCAATTTGTAAAAAATTAAGGATGAAAGCTTAAATACCACAAGTGATTCCATAATATTTAAGCCCAGCTTGTATTGAAAAAGAGCATTAAGAAATAAAACAGATTGAACCTTTAAATAATCGATAGATACATGATGAAATTCAAATGAGAATGAATGTAAGAAAACAGACAATACAATATCTTCAATAGATCAGATTATTGGATTAGGTGTTTATGTTTGAGAAGCACTAAAAAAAGTGATAAATTCTCTTAAATCCCTATTTATGTCACATAATAACGCATCTGATAGCAGAGATTATATCAAAGAAGTTAACTGATATCACCTCCCAAACCTCCGGTCAATATTTCGGTGAAATTAAAGTATGAAAACAAACCAATCAGGTTCTAGATAACATTTTCGAAATTCTTCAGCGAGATTCATCCATTCAAATGGGATTTTGTCCGTCACAGGTGATGTCAGCTCGTGATGAAAACTCTAACCTTAATTTCTTATCCCAACTCTCTACTAACCCTATTTTGAACCAGGAAATAGTTGAGACTTTGCAAGATCATATTTAAAGTCTCCCACCGTGTTCCTCATCCATCGATACCGCTAATATTTCTGATTCATGAGGTAATGGGACAAATATCAAAAGTCGCATCTTCAAAACAAAGTTTTACTACAGCAAATTCATACACAATTCCCTCTTTATCTTTGTAGATTACCAATTCAGAACTTTCCAAATGCTTTATCTACTGATAAGGTTTAATGTTTGAATAGTTTCATTGGTGATCGTTTTAGTGACTAATGATTAGCGATCATACGACTTTAGAAACAATGTCAGTTTAATAAATTCTATCACGTTTACCATACTAAGAATCATATTTTTTCTCTAAATAAAAAGAATCGATGATAGAAATCACTGAAACTCTCATAACTTAACTGATAGATAGTTTACATTATAAATCTTAATCAGCATGAATCATCAACTACATTGATTGTTAAAATGAAATGATATAGCCAACCAAGTAAACCTTTATTTCTATTTAAAATACCTGATCACATCTATTGAAAGGTGATTCTGAACATAGAAAGCTTTCTGCAAATACTACGGAAAAAAATACTCAAGGAATTCTAATATGTAAACTAACACACACACACACACAAGTACATTTACACAATATTGTCAGTTTATATTTGTAAATGGTTGATGTAATACAATGTATATTCTGTCTGAAAGGCAAAAAAGCGCTATAGAGAACATTGAAAAAAGGCGTAAATAATTAAGCAAAATTTCCAAAGTAAACGAAAAAGAAATAATGTAGAACAATCTAAGCTACTTAATTCGATGCAAGTAGCACGAGTAATAGCAGATAAATTAAGCAGTAAACACAGTGGATAATAATGAGGTAAATAATAAGTAACAGCACAAAAATAAATAAAATAAATAATTCAAGATTATTCTACAAATGTACATTATTTTATTTTAAAAATATAAAATAATTAGGTAATACAAGATAGTCAATATCTAATAGAGAAGGAACTTGAAGTACTCTGTACAACTCCAAGTTTGTGAGTGTGTGTGTGTATATATATCTGTTGATGTGTGAGAGCATTTGAAATACATTGATCTAATAGCTAAAAAACTGAAAGACAAAAGACCGCGGAAAATACAAACTCAGAAAACAAGAAAAACCTCTATTTTGATAGTGACAAGATAAAAAAAAAGAGTAAAAAGTCAAGTAATATTTGCAAATCATTTACAAATGTAAACCGAGAGTTGAGTTTTAGTCAGTTTCTTTTTGTAGAAGATATTCAAAATAGATGTACAATACACAAAGATAGTCATTATCTTTATTTTACAAAAATGGTAACGATTTAAAATGTGTATAATTTGATAATTAGAAATAGCCTTCATTACTACAATTACCGCTACTACCACTGCTATCAATGTGGTGTGTGCTACTTATATTGACATAAGTAGTATATGATGTTAGTCGTGAACAGAAGGACTGGTAGCAGAGAGACAAGAGGATCGAACAGTAAAGAATGGAAACACGATGCAATTTGTATGAAAATGCAAGAACAATGAAGTTTGAGTCATTTTGAGACACTCAGTGGACATTTTGCAAATTAAGCATTTACTTTATGATAGTTAGATTTTATCAACAAGTCCTGTAATTTTGTGTTAAATACATTCGATTGTCTTCACTGGTGTTCTTGTTCACAACATCAATACAACTCATGAACACATAATTGGATATGATAGACGGTCAACAAATGCATAAAAACTAATAAACAACTAGAAAAAAAACAGGCAACAACAATAACAGCTCAGACTACGTCTTAGCAACTACATATATGTATCGTGTTTAGAGAGAGATCATAAGAATTTATGATGTAATATCCATAATAATTTGGTTCTTGTTTAATAAATAGATGGTAACGAAAGAAAATAATAATTATCAATGATGAAAAGAAGAAAAATTATTCATCAATTATTATCCATTGATGAAGTAAATGTTGAAATTGATGATAAACAGTGAAACTAATACCTGAAGCTACTGGCCCTTTAATCCAATTCACTGATAAACCTTTATATAATCCATGAATAAAACCTTCATCTTTATATACATATCGTAATGTTTTATATACACTTTCTATGTATTCTGGATGACCTAGTTAATTTAGATAGATAATAGAAAAGTGAAAAAAAGTATTATATACGATGAATAAAATGTAATTAATAACTTTGAAATGTTTGCTTATTTGGTTAAGGTGTTTGATATCTTACCGCTAAGTCACAGGTACAAACTTCCCTCCGTTTACATTTCATTTATTTGTGATTTGGGCAAGCAAGTAAGTAATACTAGATCGAACATTAAAAATGTAAAAATGAAGTTAAATACACAAAACTGTCTATGCCGGACAGATGAGTAGGTAAATACTGAATAATAAGAAGCATATATTGTTAGCTGTTAAAGTATATCTGTAGAGTAAATAGAAATACATGAGTATACATTTCGATAGATTAGGCTAGATCTATCTCTTATAAAAAAAAAACACATCGAAAGATCTAGCCAATATTATGTGGCTACGGTCAAATACATGAAGGAGAATAAGAAAATCAATAATTATGGGTTATTTTTCACTGAGTCACAATGAGAAGTGTTCTTCTACGCGTTGGATGTATGTCAATAAATGACCTATGCACCTAGTTCCATAAGAGATGCTAAACAAGTCACATTCACATATCCAGTGTATTTTGTCCTTTACTCAGATGCATACCAGTAAGAGGCTAGTATAACATATTTATACAAGCGGTTGTATAGAATATTCATCTTCGTAAACTTTCCAAGCAATTAACAAGTTGAACCATAATATCATCCTTGAGTTCAAAATGATCATTTTTGAGTGATCTCAGATTTATATAGTTTAAAACCAATCTTAGCTAAACCACCATTGAAAATATGTAGAAACTAAAAGACAATTTCGTTCTAGTATAAGACTGCTTAGCATCCGCGCATCCTGGGATCAGATCGAGGACATTCGGTCTCGCGTGCGAACATTTAACCTGTAGATCATTGAACCGGTAACCGACAGTGTTAATGTATAACTTCAATCAACTCACAATATTGCACAACCCTCATCTATTGTTTGTAGTGAATAACTGTCTTACACCCGACACGAATTAAGCTCTAGTGGTCATAGATTCGCGAGAGAACTCCACGAATCACACCATAAAGCCAATCGTTAGTCAGCACATGATAATAAATTAGCATAGGGGGCTTACTTAAAATCGGTTAACAATAAACACTATTCAGAAAAAAAATCATTTTTGAAGGCCTGAAATTCTTCTATGTATGTTTTTAAGACGCACGTAGTGAAAGAACAGATCAGACTTCTCTTACTGTTCATAGAGACAAAACCATTAAAATTCATCATCTCTCCATTCAACGTAAGTGGTTGTCATTATCGTCTCATTTTGTTTTATCTTGTGACTAAACGAGCTAAAATCGAAATCTTAGATGTAATTTACTTTTTTAGCGCATATTGGAAAGACGTATGACATTCGTTGAGTGCTTTCAAAGTAATAACATTTCTTGCAAGTAATAAAAATTTTGTCAATAAATCTCTTGGATATGTTAGTCTCACAATTTCTCTAGGGCAAACTTGCTAAGCAGAAACTAGTTGGAAATGGACCTAGGGGTTATAACATTGCAATATTATCCATTAATTACTAGACCTTATTATTAAAGCTGAGCTCAAACTACCGAGTACATTTGAAAATCGACTCCTTCTAGTAAGATGTTGATACATCTATACTTAATTTGCACGTATCACACATATGAAACCACATATAAAACATAATATATCAATAAATAGAACGTTCCTAAATGAAAATCGAAAACTAACTAGACACATCTGATCGTAAATAAGATCTCTAGGGTTGAAGTTTGAAAGAGTTTATCACTTTGCGGTTCCCAAAAATGTGAAAAGATATTTCATACTGAAGTACCTGAGAAGGAAACTGGATTAAATTTGGTCGCAGTGACCTGGGAGCGTGACTGCAGAGCCCAAAAATCTTATTATTATTATTTTTATTTATTTATTATTTGAATACATAGATATTGGTACAAGGAGGCACCAAATACATATGCGCAATACAAATCTCATTCGATTTGTGTGAGGGCTGTGATACTGCCCGGCTGCACAAACCGAAGCAGTTGGTTTTCTTAGGAGGCCACACCCCGAACCTTTGACCTAAAGGTCTAATCCACAAGACAGTGGAGCAACGTCAAGAGATGCAGTCCAATAGAAGCTGGTGACCAACGACTGGTTCATACACCATTTGTTCCCTTAGGATATTGGAGCCCATGTGCACCATTGGTTTGGAATCAGGGTTTTCCGACTCCCATAGACGGACCCTCATATCCACCGACGCGAATAAAGCGTCGGACATTCGCCTTTCGTCCTCTCAATTTCGTAAACAGTAGTGCCGCGAGAAAGCAGTGATTAGGACATCCCTGGCAGAGGCTATATACGCGTGGTCATGTGAAAGCATTTCGAGAGGGTGAGCGGACTCTCCCCACTCTCGGCCGTACAGGGCATTTGGGGGCCCAAAAATCTACTTGAAGTCGATCAGAAAACGTCTTTCTGTGAGAAATTTAGAGGATTAGCTCCGTGTTTCAAAAGACCACAGAAATCCGTGGGGTATGAGATTTATAGAGCTAACCTTTTAACGCCATCTTTTCGTTGTAAGAATGAAGTATGTATGCAGATGCTGCTTATCTGAGGGAAACACCTTACTGCTCTTACCCCTCAGTACAATCAGCAGTGCAATTTCGCCTCCAGATCTTAAGTTTTCTGCTTTTCATCTTATTGTTCCCCAACCGACCTGCTCGGAATGATAGGACCTAAAAGAATAAGTGTTCCAGCTCAAATAGCTCGACTGCATCGTTACGATAGGTAACTCCGACCACTACTTCAAGGTAGTAGTTACGATCGGAAACACTTCATCGAACAAGGTCAATTTGATCAGTATAATATGTTTTGAAACCTTGAAGATTTATTAGGTTATCACATAAAATCAAGTGAAATCTATTCCATGAAGTATTTTATTATTATTTTCATCATCAAATACCTGAATTTACCATATAATCTTTCTTGGTCAATGAACATTTTTTAATTTTACACGAAAATCATTCGTAACTTATTGTGTAGAGAAAAGATATCAAATACCAAGTTAATTTAACAGTCAACTTTGTTAGAATCTTCAAGATTTCTTTTAACAAGTTAAAATATATTGTACAAATAAATGTATACAATGGTACATTAACGTACTTTTAATTGTATACGTATTATTTGTTTTTGAACTAGTTTTAAACACATTGAGAGCAATAAATTAAGAGATCACTTGACAGGAATGTTATTGTTTTTTTCTTGATGTATAATGGATGGTTTTAAATACTTTTATCCCTTTCACATATATATATTATGATATGTTAGTACGATGAGACCAGTGTCACGATGTTATATCAGATCCAGGATTCATAAACCAGAATAGAAAACCTAAGTACAATCTAGATAATACTTGATTCAATAAAATTACAAGTAATGTATCTCAATGAGTTCAGAGTAGTAAATCAATGAAAGGAAAGGAAATCACATATATTTGACAGTCTATAAGTTAAGTGCATATTTGTCCACGCTCAATGAGCAATCATATATGAATTTCAGTATCACACATCGATTTTTCGCTTTAGCTTTTGGATTAATATTATGAAACCCGACCGTTGTTGCTACCTTGACGTGGTGGTCGGGTTTGCCTATCGTGATGAAGCGACCGAGCTATATTGCATGGAACAACCGTTCCTCAAGGTCCGAAGGCGAAGTCGTACTGCCGACTGTACAGAGGTGTGACAGCAGTAAGGTGTTTCCTTCAGACAACCAGTAAGACAGCGATGCTGCCTTCCCACAAGGAGAGGTGGGGTTAAAAAAGGTCGGCCCTAAAAATGCACACCTCGCCTTATCCCACGGATATCCGTCTCCGGCGGTAAGGTCTCAACAAGTACGGAGCTAACACAAAAATTACCCATAAAAAGGTCGTGTGTGACCGACCTCAAGCAGTTGTCCCTTGGGCACTGCGGTCACGCTTCCAGGTCACTAAGACCACCTCTAATCCAATTTCCTTTTCAGGCACCTTCAGAAGAACCCTCCCACGGTGTGGGCAATCGGGAAGTGATAACCACCCTCATACCTCTAACAGCACTCAAGACCGCTGACTGAATACTATGAAACACTATAACAATACAATAATTTTAATAGACCGAAGGTCCTGGATTGGAATCTCGCGTGCGGGATCGTGGGCGCCCACCGCTGAGGAACCCCATACTACGACGGAATGGCCATCCATTGCTTCTAGGTTTTCAATGGTGACCTAGCTTACATCGATTCACGGATTCAACTATTAAAATTACTGCAATCTCCACAAACCCTATTCTGATCATAATACGATAATTATCATTATGATTTTTTCCATAATACTGTCGTGAACGAGAACACTAATGAGGACAATTAAATGTATTTTAATACATTACAAAATAACTTGGTAAAATCTGAGAACCATACAGTGAATACTTCATTTCCAAAATATCCATCAACTGTCTCAGACTTTGTTATTCCTTCATTTCCATATCAATCACTCTCTGTTCTCGTTCTCTTCTCTTCGAATTCTCTTAACCTTTGCCATCAAGCATTCCACTTTCGATTGGTAATACATGCTACTTATATCTGTCGTCATCAGTAGCACACACCATAATACAATCAACTATTTTTATATTAACTCTGATACATAAAAAGAGTATATTTTTAACTGGTTCAAACACATTTATGATTAAGAGTAGATAGAGTATATTAGTGGTTAAAATTTATTCAACTTTCAATAATTAACTCTTAAGTTAAATCTCACAGATAACACTGATTTTGATTTAAAACAGTTATGCAATCGTATCAACAACTCTTAAACCAAATATTTACAAATATGCACGAATCTGTACTTAATTATTAGAGAAAAAGACTAGTCGAGAGAAAATTGTTCAATATGCTTAAGCTATTTAAATGAATAAGGTCACAAACCAGAAAATTACATGTGATTGAGAAAAGTCAGTCAATTATAATATTAATGTGAAGCCTGACATATTTTTACGAAAAAAACACAACAGAAATGCGTACATTTATGTTTGATGAATTGAACATTTAACATAGACTAGTAATCAGCGTTAAGTCTAAAAGGAGAATAACTAGAACATAAAGCTTAGGATAGAGTTCATTGAAGATTTTTGGTTGATGATTAATATTCAACGAGGGGTAACAGACGTAAGTAAATAAGCAATGACAGAAAAACATCCGAAAAATGTTCTTTTTTAAAAAATAAAACTGAGCTAAATAACTAAACTATTGAAATATCTAATTTATATTATCATTTCAGTTTCTAATCTAATCTAATGATTAGAATAATAAAAAATATATAATTAGTTAAAATGCATCAATATTCGCAATAACTTCTAAAGAAAATATACATTACACGATAGATTTCTAAATGATACTTTTTTTCTCATTATAGTATATTTTTAACTGAACAAATCTTATAATCTTAACCAGTTTTTTTCATTTGGGGACAAAAAAAAGATTACTTTGATTACTAGAACAAACATACACATATGTCAACTATGGCACAGTTATTCACCGTAGGGAATAGATGAAGACTGCGCAATATCATGAGTTAATTGAAGTTATACATTAACACTGTCGGTTACCGGTTCAATGATCTATAGGTTAAATGTTCGCACCCGAGACCGAAAGTCCTCGATCTGATTCCAGGATGCGCGGGTATGTGAATGTATATTGCTAAGCAGTCTTATACTAGGACGAAACTACCGTTCAGTTCCTCCAGAGTTTTCAATGATAGTCTGGCTAAGATCAATTGATGATTCAAAAACTATAATCATTAAGAACAATCACATGTTTAACAAGTTCAGCCTCCATTAGATGTAAGGCGGTGAGTGGATTTATCAATAACGAAACAAAATGAAAAAGAAGAAAATAAAGGTATACACAGCACCGAAAATAAGTTAAATAGCATACCTGTAATATTAGCAGTTTGCATTCTTCGTCTAACAATATCTAGTGGATAAGAAGCAGTTTGTCCTAAAATTCCAGCCACTGCACCACAACATAAATTTTCAAATGGATACAGTTTTTTAGGCCGTTTACCAGTGATCGGATCTTTGTTTCTGTCTGAATAGAAAAGCAAATAAACATTATTTATGTAAATATATACAATACAGATTCTTACGACCAATTTATAATAATTGTCACACATGAAAATCATAAAGTAACATCTGAACGATTGACTTGCATCAGTTAAACTTAAATATTTCAGTTAGAAATAAACACGACACTGAATAACACAAACAGAAAGAGAAAAAACAGTGGTGTTATTAGTAGCGATGACGTAATGTAAGATGCTTATGTTATGGGTGTTCTTATCCTTTACAAACTGAAGTCATACCATAATGGTAGACATCTTTAAATCATAGAGGATTCATTTTCTTGACATTGTGTGAGGGAAAACAATACATTATGGTTAGGTAAATCATAAAAAATGGATTTAGACGCAAATAGAAGACAAAACTTGGTCGAAAACTGAGTGATTAACTGATTTGGAGTTGCCTACAGTGTGGTGGACAACAACAAACAATGAACCATTACACACATACACGTAAAATAATTTTAAAACAATAGTTTTAGAAGAACAAGAGTTAAAATAAAGTGCTTGATAGGGAAGAATAAAAAGAGACGATCAATCGTAAATAGGTAAAGAAATGATATAAAAAAGGACTTCTTACCTAAACAAGTTTCTTTCAGTGTTTCAAACGTAAAGAAAGCTGTCCCAGCATATGGGATAATACCGAGGAGAGCAGGGGAAAAACCACGATACAATGCACTTAATCCTTCTTCTGTATAAAGAGCTCGTATAGCATGAAAAAGACTAGAATATCTGAGTAAATGAACAAAAGAAATCATATATGGCGGAAGTAACGAAATACAGATCCATAATAATGAAGTATCAAACTACGGATAGTTTTTGCTTAGACAACAAGCAAAAACAAAAGGGTACTGACACAGCTAGTGTGAGACTCAGTAACAGTAAACATCCACAACCCTAGCTGGGGTCGAGCACGGGGCCTTCAGATTTCGGAGCTCATGCTTAACCTTCACACCACTACGTCGATAACCCAGTGGTCGACATTTTTAACTTCGGTTGCTTCGCGATATAGCGCAATTATTATCTACTGCCTAAACATAGCCAGTCAGTAATAGGAAAATTCAAAAATCTTCACAGATCCCTACAATAACGGTCATCATGTGATTACTGGTGATTAACCTCGAGGTAATTCCTGGAGTTTAAATGGAAAGTAGTAACCAGTAGTGTTCAACAAAGGCAGTGCACGATAGTTGCGTAAGATCGTGAATTGTTTAACGTCAGAAATAAAAACCAGTGGATATAAACTTAGTGATTCTGCATTCAATCACAGGTGGGGCTGTGTATGTGCACTACTGACGTGACCTACACCATGACGAAACAGCTATTCAGTGCATTCTGGTTTCAAATGGTTGTTTAAACCGATATTTCATAATGTGAAACTTCAAATTCAAAAGTCTTAACAACACCCCACAAAAATAATAATAACAGTAATAGTTTTATAAATAACTAGTTTTAATGATAAATAGAATAATTTGACGGTAGAATTAACTCAACTAACGATCACAAGTACATCTACTAAAAGAAGTATACTGTTAAGTATACAGGTTCACAGAAAGAATCATGATAATTCATAGTTTTATTCCATTGACAAAAATGTAATTAGATCCTATAGATTTATGCTTATTCCATTGTGATCAAAAGTTAAGTTTTATGAGTAAATCTCCATATTAACAGGATAGAGCATTGATTAGTATATGTCGGATCATGTTAATTGTTTTATTTTCAGCCAGTCAGGTATTAATGGATAGATTAAAAAGATAGAAGATTCCTATGTAAGTCATACTTAACATTTTACTACACAATATATTCTTGTTTCAATTCTCAAATAGACCCTTGTCTGCTTACAGGTTTCATGATGATTTAAGACTAGTCGAGTAAAGTATTTTGCTCAAAAAAATACTAAGTAGTAGAGTAATCACAGTCCATTTAGCACTAGTAATATTTATTTTTCATAGATGGTTTCAAAGTTTTATTAATCAATTGTAAGTAACTTAACAATACAACCGTTCTGATTGTATTTTGAAGTTGTTTGTAAGGTATTAGATCGAGACATAAAGTATGTGGATCAGACTGCGAAGTTGTATCAACTTGTCAATTAGAATTTGTAGTACACATCCTCAACACACTATACTGGCTAACATGTAAATTGGTAGAAGAAAAGAGTTGGAACAAAATATCACAATAATTCACAAATTCATTTAATATTGGTATAAGATATGTTGAGAGATACAGACGTTCATGTTAGGATCCGTTAGATAATCATAATCTATATTTAGAGACCTTGGATGATAGTGGGTCGATATCAATCGCAGTGGTATGGGTCTATTCATTTTTCATTTTCCTGTAGATTATGAGTTTAATATTACTATTATTATTTTATACCTCTTTTGCTTCAATTTCATCCGTTTTGTTTCACAAACTATGTATTCGTCATGCTTGATAATTTATTCGTTATGAATGGTACAACTATTGTTTCAACTCATCTAATCAACATTTCCTTAGCTATATATATACTAATTTAAAATAAGTTACAATGATTACATACAAATGAAAGCCAGTATACCACTAGATTTTAATAAATGTGGTTGTATTTTGTCTGGAGAGGTTTTGAGAATTAATTTAATTTATAGTTGGTACTGATCATGAATTAACTTCAGTTCGAATACTTTTGAAAAACTAAGGAACACTAGGTTACTGAGACTACTCAGAAGTGTATATTATCCACTGTTTCGTTAGGGTTAAAAGTTAGGACCTTCAAGTTTTGTATCTTAGATGTAGAATAACTTTCGAATGGTTATCAGTTAGCAAAAAAAGATAATTAAAAGCATTAATTAAAGGATAAAAGGTTGTTTAAAGATCTTGTAAACAGTAGTGCACATGAACATATGGTCGGTAAAATCTTAATGCTTTGAGAAATTTAGGAAGATTATAATCTGAATAATAGGTTCCAAAGATATATCTTGTTGTGTATGGGATTAGTTAGGTTAGTCAGTCAGCTAGAATGTAGGAATTGAAGAGGGAGATTGATTATGAATACAGTGATCTTGAGTGCTGTTGAAATTATGAGGGCGGTTATCACTTCCAGGTTGCTCACACCGTGGAAGGGTTCTTCGAGAGGTATCTGAAAAGGAAATCGAGTTAGAGATGGTCTTAGTGACCTAAGTAACCTAACATAGGTTAGTGAACGTGGATTAATTTAATCTTATCCTAGCTTTAAATATTTGACCAGTTTATAGTAGTTAAATCAGTGTCAAATTAATCTGGATATCAAATAATCATAGTTCACCGGGGTGATGGCAGTAGTGATATTGGTTATGATTAAAACACTTGACTTTCAACCAATAGATTCCGCATAATAGCCCCCCCCCATTAGTATTAGTTTGAACAGTCAAGTAGTATTATTAGCTCCCGTACAAACAGTGTAGGTCAAAGTTAAGTAAATACTTTTGTACTTGATAAATGAATAGCAAGAGAATCATGCGCAAAAATCAATGTATCTCCATAAAATAACTGGGTAATTTTGAAAAAGCAGTACATGGATGGATTTACTACTTATCCTTCTCTAGATCCTGAGTTTCAATACCTTTCCGTACATACCTTTGTTTGGACTGTATTCTCAATGTTCAGTCTTTATCGCAATCACTGTTACTATTATTACCTGCATGGTTATTTTATCTGATTGTGTTTATATTGTATGGCAACTTGAATCAACATGAATCTGTACTAGGTTCTGAGTTTTATGGCCAACTCCCCAAGGTAGTTGAATCGGAGTTTGAATCTATAATCGAATCGAGTGATTAAACCATTAAGCCATTGCGTCTCACGTTAATCAAGTATCTTAACTTATCCCGTTAAATCTTTAGCAATAAGTTACTGCAAGTTGGAATTTAGATATCATGAGTTCATGCAAATGTACCATAATTTTAAAAAATCAGCAACGTTTAAATAGAAAACACCATTGAATTTTCTCGTGACCTTATATATATATATATATATATATATATATATATATATATATATATATATATATATATATATATATAATCACGTGTTTATCATGTGCTTATACGATCATTGATATATATTAAAATAGGTTACGAATAAAGATAGTGAATAGGATAATCTATTGTAAATATAATTACGATGGTGACTGAAAGTATATCATTTAATAAGTTGAAAACCTTATCATACTAAATTAAGTGATTCCAAAATATGTTGTCAGCAAGAAAATACAAACATGGCTTCATTTTAAGATTGACACCGAAGACCACTGAACAACTTTTTGATTCTAGGTTGAGACATTTTAGAAATTATGTACACTAGCGATCCTGATATGTTATCACAACTTCTCGATACCAGAATACAACTATTACGCTATCGCATAGCCCCGATTACTCTAAAACACAAATCTTATGGGGAAGATTAGTTTGGTGAATACTAACGAATAATACTTCACGTTCGAATTCATCCTATTATATACCAATCACATTCAGTGATTATTAGTTAGAAAGTTTGTCACATGAACAGAAATCACCTTTAATAAATGTATGAATCTTAAGATTGACTTCATAGTACGCTACATTTGAAAACTTAACGTGCCCTAACAAACCTAAGGCACGAGTGCCGAACTCAAGATCTTCATGTTTTGCTGAGACCATAATATAATTATTGCACTACTGAGTCAGTATTCAACAGTGTGCACACATTTTGAACAAGCTCAATTCACAATTTATAGTGATTTCATCATAATAAGTAACACCGGAGATATTGTGCCCCATCCATATATCTAAAACCTATGTTCCTGGATATGAACACAACTAATATCTAGTTATGTTAAATTCAATTGAAAATGTACACCTCAAACAATAAGACTTATCTAAACCACAACTATTTACAGTTCACATACAACTCTGTATGACAATTTTAGACAACTGATAGAATGAGTTAGGCATCTCGACAGTATTCTCATTTGCTATAAATAAAAATTTGAGTAATAATTCTAAACAGAAGAATCATAAACGGTCGATTGGTTGATCAGCTTAAAAAGAATCCAGCATAAATGGTTAGAATAATGACTTTACTTAGGCAATAATTCTATGCATAAATTAACATCGATATTGGAGCCGAAAAATGAGTATTTAGGAAGATGTCAATCGCTTTAAATTCCTATTAAGTTCTAACTTTAAATATGCTACACAAACCAGTCGGTAAAACAATTTTAAAGATTACACAGTGGAGATAACAGTGAGTTGAATAATGATAAGTGAGAGAAAAATACGTCAAAGTCAAACTGATCAATTAATTAATCTTTTTCGCTGTATAGGGTAGTAATACGAAGAGTTGGATAAGCTTACAATGAGTAAATGAACCAAAAACCTTTTATCGAACCGAATATTTATTCATTTGGATATTTTGAGTTGACTATCCACCCCTCTCACACCAGTGAATAATAGGCGAGAAAAACCTAGTTTCCTAGTGATTTCTGAGAGAATGATATTATCAAGAGTGTTTTGACTTAAATTGCCCCCGAATGTCGAGGTACGGCCAAGAGTAAGGAGAATCGGCTCTCCCTCTCGAAATGCTCTCACATGGCCACGTGCATACAACCACTGCCAGGGAAGTCCTACTCATTGCCTCCTCGTGGCGGCGGCGTTGTTTACGAAATTGTGAGGACGAAAAGCGAATGTCCGGCGCTTTAACCGGGTTGGTGGATATGGAGGATCCACCTAAGGGAGTTGTGAAACCTTGATCCCAGACCAATAATGTACATGGGCTCCACGTTCCCGAGGGAACAAATGGTATATGAACCAACTGTTAGTCACTGACTACCATGGAATTGCATCTCTTGGCGTTGCTCCACTGTCTTGTGGATTAGACCTTTAGGTCAAAGGCTCGGGGTGTGGCTCCCTGATTCGGTTTGTGTAGCCGGCCAGTATCCCAGCCCTCACACAAGTCGAGTGATTTGTGGGGCGCATATCTATTTGGTGCCTCCGTGTACCAACATTGATGCTTAAATAAATAAATAAATTCAACTAGAATTACTCAAGATAACGTATCTATCTAATATTTATGAATAAACAAAGAAAAAATATCAAATCGAGACCCGATTTAAGTTAAACCACCACTGAAAACCTGGCAGCACTGGACGGCTGTTTCGTCTTAGCATGTGATTCTTTAAAAGTGCGCATTCACGAACCTATCACAGGTTATAGAACCCAGGAACTTCAGTGTCGCGCTCTAGAGTTTAACCCCTGAACAACCAAGCCGACATTCGAAGGTGTTAAGCTTTGTGCGCGAGATCGGAGGTCCTGAGTTCGACTGCCGCGTACGTAGTTGAGAGTGGACACAGCTGGGGAGCCCCATGTTAGAGCGAAATGGACTTTCGGTGTCTCCAGATTTTAGTGAAACCCTACAATCTCCATATCCAAATACTGGCAAAAAAATGCATTCTATCCCAAGGTGAGAACTCTGAACCATTTGTGATAGTTTTCTTTCTATAAACTATGGTAGTATATTGCGAGGAAGGTCAATTAAATTAGAGCACAGGAGCTTAGAAAAAAGGGTTTGTAAACATGAATGATTTTAATTTCAACGAAATGTCAATCAACTAACTTGGAAGCAGTTGTAACTGCCATACGTGCTCTAGCAACATCAAGTGGGTATGTACAGGTAACCGATGTTGTCCCAGCTCCAACACCAGCAAGAAATCGTCGTAAACGTATATACGAAATATCTCTATACATCAAAGGAAAAATAAAAGCTAATGAATAAATATAACAAAACTAAAAATGTACGGAGCTAGGTGGAAACTGTATCACGAATCAAACTGCATAGACTCGTCTACATGCAACCTTGAACGACCTTTATTCATGGGCATAAAAACTCATAACAAGTAGACCAGAGCAACGAAGGACGTTAATTGGCGAGAAACAAGTAGTTCTCAGTATTAATTTTGACATTTCGTCAGCTACCAAGCTATTAAGGCTGATTGGAGTATAGAGAAAAAGCAAACAATCGACATAACCTTTCTTCTCATAAATAAACTAGGCAGTGACATAAAGCAGTTATGAAACAATGTTTTGCCATCAGATCCAGAGAAATAGATCCTAAAAATTCCTTGATTATAGAGTAATGCATTTAAATGACTCTACATTTCACAAGCGTCTTATTCAAAACAACGTTATTTGTTTACTCGTTGTGTAAATGGCTCATGTTTGAGAAGTCGAACGAAGTACCCGTTACTTCCAGATATAAATCAAGATGAGAAAAATCTCCAGACAACAGAAATTTCTGAAAGAAAAGAGATAGAACGACTAGTCTTAGAAGTATACCCATAATGGTTATAAAGTGAAGTTAAGCAGTACGCGAACTGTGATAAGGGCCGGGGAAAATCTTGAGAGACTGGACGATTCAAAGTCAATAAACTGTCCGTCTTTCTTTTGTAGACCCTTTGAAGTAAATACGCAGTCAAAATATTGTGCCGAACTGGTTTGAAATTACATTTTCCAGAACTTCAAACAGATACACTTCTTATTTCCATAGAATTTATCTGTCATAATTACATCTGTACAGGACCAGAAAACGAATTTTCTGACGTAGATATTACTATTGTAGTTCTCCAATGAGGATCTCATCAACTGGAGAGAAGGGAAGCACCCAGTTTCAAATATGAGGATTGCATCATGCGCATTAGTGTACTGTGTTCGATTGCGGCCAAAACTACTTGAAAATAAGTAGATAAAAGGCCACTGGTCTTATAACTGTCGATTTGATCGGACTTCACAAACATAAGTTCACGTGTGTCTACTTAAGGCATACTACCGGGAGAAAAAAACACTTGAGTAATATGGATATAGAGATTAGCAATCGAAAGAATATTTTATTTATTTATGAGACATTCACAAGGAGTATGTTGTAAAAGACATCAGAAAACTCACGAATGGCTAGTTGAACCAATCCCAAGTAAATGTTTGTAATGATCATGAGCAGAGTACTGAATAGCAGAATAAGGAAAAATTCTGGCAAGAGTTGCAGTGTGACCACGCCATAAGCACATGAAACCTTGTTCTTGGTAAGTGTTTTTGAGAAACTGAATAAGACTCCGAACATTAAACGGCATTCGAGTAGCTAAAAAGACCAAAATAAGTACGAGAGCCTTACACTGAAAATTTATCTTGGCTCTGTCGAGTGGAGCAATTGCTGTCTTTGCAACACATCCTGCTAAACCACCTGTCAAAATATTTATGCCGATTGGGACTCGATGACTTGACTTTATGTTATTCGTAAATAGAAAAGTAAGGATTAAAACTCACATCTTCAGGTTTAGTAGCAGGATGCATTAATATGTTTGTTATGAGCTTCCTATATGAGACGTAAAAATCTAAAGAGTCAACCAAACATCATGACCTTCAGTTTCAAATATTGACCAGTCCTACAATGATGAGTGTTTCAGTTGACTTTCAATGATCTTTACAGTTTATTTCACTGTCAATAGCCAGGTTATTACTGAAGACGCTGGTAATTGTTACTGATAACATGTGTTTCAGTTACCATTCAGAATGACGTATATGAGAAGGTAGGACCAGTCACTGAGCCCTAGACAAATCATCCGGCAGTTGGATCACTGAATGTCGAACAGATCATCGCTCCCTGCCAAAGTCAAGTACAACCAACGCGCATTGGTTAATCATATGCCATGGACTGGCCCATGCGGCATTGGTCTTACTTTCGCTTATATCTACTTTAACTAATATATTTCTGTAATAACGTCCTCTGTGTTGTACAGACTTCAAAACATCTATGGTACATTGATAAGTCAATTGGGGTAATTCACGTAAAGCGCTGACCACGAGGTGTAACTTCGACGTTAGCTAGTTTGTCACACCATTCACGTCTAACTCGAGTAGGCGTCCAATCATTCCGACATAAAATCACCTACGTTGGTGATCTACAGGAATAATCACGTGCTTACAGTTAACGGGATTTAAAACAGGTATCCAGCACTTTGGGACTTTAATTTAAGGAAGAAACATATGATTATAGTCTCCACGAAGATGGTAGCCCATAATACCAGACGATCCCCCGAACCTTAAGATGATATTCAGTAAACCTTAACAGTAACAGTGGCATTCATTATTTTGGAAAACAATATATACAACTTATGTATACAAGTGCAAGTACAGGCAGTTATCAAGCAAATTGAATTGATCTACTATTTGTGTCAAAAGAAAGTTGTTCTTCGTTCGTTAGAGACATTTATTATATTTTAGTTCGAATTCTTTACAGTCTGATCGTTTAATCCCGTAAGGTTTGGTTTTACCAGTGAAGATGTCACTATTATTTGGAGTTTGACAACGCTTTAACCATTAACACCTTCTACTACGAATCGTATCCACCAAGCGAAATCAAAAGTTAGAAGCGAGGAGGGTTGATGATATATTTGATAAACTATCAATATAACGATGATCGACGGATCTAGACTGGCTAGCGATTGCAGGAGAAGTTGAGTACGGCGTTCCAACTCGTGATTTGATGCGGATGCATGACTGGGCGCCTTTAGCCAGGTGAGTCTGTTGAAAATAATGTGGTCAGCATCCAATGTCGAAGACTTACAGAGCTATTTATTTTTGGGATTTATTTACCGCTACAGATCACTGCCGCCCCCTAGTGGGATAGTGATGAACCTAAGATGTGGCCAGCCAGAAGTCGGTCCTTGGCAAACACTATTTTGATAGCCTGCTATGTTTAGCAGCATCTGGTCGTATTTCCTTACGAACCATATAGTAAAATATAGTAATAAAGAAACAAAGTATAATGAAAATTTCGGTTTCTCGTAAACTTCATCGTTCTTTTTCAGAACAGCTGGAAAAGAAAAAAAATATGTAGTTGCATGTCAAAATACACTCGTACGTGCGAAAAGACATAAAGCAGGCGAAAAAAGGAAAGTAAACTCATATCCATGTAATAGCGTAAAAGCGAATTTTAAGGAAATTTCTTGGTTTTTTTCCAAGGAAAAAATTAAATGTGCACGTATTCGCAAAAAATTTTGTTTATTTTTGGAATAAATATATAAGTATAAGCATATTAATCTTTTTATTATATATAATGCAAAGGAAAATCGAGATGGAGCAAACTGTTACCTGGTGTCTCACGTGCAATAATCGTTCAAAAAATCCGGAAACCTTACTCTTTCCAGAACGCGTTGTTCTAGGTTTATTTTCAGATACTGCCGAAGTGTCAACGTGCTTGTTGACTGTCGGATGATGTTTTATAAGTGTCGGAGTCGTGTCGTTCGATTATATCGAAGGAAAATCGACATGGGTCAGATTTTCTTTTAAACACGTTGCTTTGATGCAGCCAATGCTGATGCTGTCGTTAATTCCATTCTTATCGACTATTTAGTACTAAGGTTCGCGTCGAAGATCTTTGAAGGGTCCTTCGTATGCCGATTTGAGAAGTCGTCGATGTGCGTCTCAACGAACAAAACGTGTGTACTATATCGTAAGTCATGTTGAAAGAAAACAACAGTTGATTGCGGTCGAGTGGAAACAGGTTTAACCGAACGCATTGCGTTTGAAAACCTGCTACTGTAGGGGGGTAGATCCACGAAGAAGATGAAGGATCCACGAATTCTCCTGGAAGTCGAAGTGTCGTTCCATAAACGAGTTGAGTCGCAGTGTATCCAATGTCAGTTTTCATTGCATTGTGAATACCTATTAGGACGAGTGGCATTGCGTCGGTCCGCTGTGAAACGTTTGCAGCTGACAGTGAAGCTTTAAATTGTGGGTGAAAGCGTCCTACCAACCCGTTTGCTTGTGAGTGGTAGGCGATTGTTCGAAAGCGAGTGATCCCTTTTAGTGTGATCAGGCAACGGAAAATTCCAGATTCGCACTGGCGTCCACGATGTGTAGTGATGGTTGAAGGTCAGCCGAAGTTTGCTACCCACCGTTCGACGAAGGCGCAGGCCGCTGTTTCAGCAGTGATGTCCTTGATAGGTACTACTTCTGGCCATCGAGTGAAACGGTCTACGCAGGTTAAGAGGTAAGAGTATCCATTTGAATCTGGTAGAGGTCCTACCAAATCCAGATGAACATGGTCGAATCGAGCATCAGGAGTTTTAAATAAGCCTAAGCGTAACGACCGAACAATCAATATTCGGTTGGAACACCGGACTGATGAACCAAAAATTTATTCGATTAGACCAGACCACGTTCCTCTTTATAGCGCACAAAGCGTTTTTGAGATACTCGTGTTATATATAAAAACACAAACTCTGTGCCCAATGTAAATGGTTCTAATTTAGAAAACAGAACAGATTATATCAAAAGTACAAAACACCTCAAACGGTACAGCCCGTGCTATACAGTCAGAAATGTCCCTAACGCAATGCAGCGCACTAAACAATGAAAGAAACAGTTAATACCAAGAGGTTCGATACCTGGGAATCAATAAAAATATTCCCAACAAGACGGGATCAAATATCTATCCGCAGGGATTTCAGCAATCCTCCCAGGCAGACAGTCAAAAGGTTAACAGCCACACGCTGAACCACGCCGACCTTGAGCTTAGTCAAACACGACTTTACTGTCAATAGTCCGGCAACATGCAACGGAAACTTGGGTAACAAAAGATAAGTCTTTAATCAAAATCACATAATAAAGGCTCAGACGAGGAAGACTGAAGGACAAAAGGTGTGGTTAAACGAGATCTGAACAAAGGTTAAAATACACGACAGGGAGAAGGAACAAATAAATGACAATACTGTTCAACGAAGAAGCTGTGGAAGGATTTTCATCGTTTTCTTTCTGTTACACTAAGGGACATTTGTTGTGTCTAATCAATTTAGATTTCTGGCAGCTTATACAGGAGCGTGCCCACTCCCTCACGTCTTTATTCATACCAGGCCAGCAAAACCGTTTTGCTATGAGCTTGATGGTTGCACAAACACCTGGATGAGAACGTTTGTACAACGTATTGAAGAAATTGCGTCGGCACGATTGGACGATCCCTACCTGTAGATGTGTCACATAGTAAGGTTTCCTAACCTGTCCCTATCTATTTAATAGGAAGTTTAACGGTTACTGAAGATAACTCGTGCTGAAGACCAATGTCTTCTTTTTGAAGCTGGGAGAGTTTACGAAGGTCGATTCCTTGGAAACTGTTCAAGGAAGTTATGCGAGACAAGGCATCTGCAACTACATTGTTTGCTCTAAAAATAATTTGAATGTCTGAAGTAAACTGCGAAATGTAGTCTAGTTGTCGAGACTCGCGAGGTGAATACTTGTCTGAAGATGAGCTCAAAGAAGAGGTAGGAGGTTTATGATCACTGAAAAAAGTGAGGTCTCGGCCTTCGATAGAGTGTTGAAAATGTCGTACAGCACAATACATAACTAGAAGTTCCCTACCGAAAGTGCTATACCACGATTCGGTGTCTAACAACCATGTCGAGAAGAATGCTAAAAATTGCCAGCAGTGGTTGCACCATTGTTGTAAGACTCCTCCAATTGTTGAGTCGGATGCGTCTACTGCGATACTAATGGGTGCTTCAGTGTTCTGATGTGCGGGCATGGTTTCCTTTGTGATAGGTTCCTTAAATGTGGAGAATGCTATTAGCGTGGTATCGTCCAAATTGATGGATTTTGCATTTCCATGAAGTTGGTCAGTTAGCGGTTTCATAAGTGACGTGCAGTTTGGTATGAACCGTCTATAGAAACTTACCAAGCCATTAAATGTGCACAATTGCTTAATGGTGGTCGGTTCTGGGTAATCCAGAATGGCCGCCACTTTGGTTCTGAGGGGTCGGATGCCTTGCAGATCAATTGTGTGTCCTAGGAAATCTAAGGAGTCAGTTCTGATTTGGCATTTTTGAATGTTTATTGTAATGCCATGTGTTCGCAGTTGTTCAGAAACAAGGTCCAGATTGCGGAGATGGGATTCTCTGTCAGGACTTGCTATCAAGCAGTCATCAACATACACATGTACGAAGTTGAGACATAGAAAAAAGTCATGTATGAACCTTTGGAATGTATGGGCAGCATTTCGTAGGTCGAATGTCATGCGCATAAATTCCCAACGACCGAACGGAGTAATGATGGCGATTTTTGGGATGTCGTCAGTGGTCATGGGAATTTGGTTATAAGCTTTAACAAAATCGATTTTCGAAAAGACAGTTGTACCTTTCAAGGTAGCTGTCAAGTCGTGAATATGAGGCAACACGTAACGACCGTAAATAATTTTTCATTCAGTCGCCGATAGCCGATAGTTACTGTTGGTCACAGTGTCTGTGCTTATACTTACTTTTACAGTATCGCTTCCCCATCAGATTCACGCGCTTTTAAAT